AACTTTTATACCAATCGGTCATGAAACCACATGCTCCCCTGTTGACTCCTTAGTTCTCTGTATGATTTTAAAACCAAGAATAAAATAATGGATTCACGGAGATATGTTATATATTGAATTAAATGGACTGAATTTCATTGAACGAGGTTTTGATTATAACTCCAAGAGTTGGAAATGGGACAGCTGAAGTCCCTTCACTTCATTGTCCCCTCTTCCACCCATAAGTGACATATGGGTGGAATTAATTTGAAGATCCTTAGAAGAGTGTGCTGTATGCTGAAGAAGTCATCAGAGGAGCTGGACTAGATGAAGAAGGGTGTGGCATCAGGATTGGAGGGAGATTTATTAACAACCTGAGGTATGTAGAGGACACAACCTTGATGGCTGGAAGTGAGGAGGGCTTGAAGCACTTGCTGATGAAGATCAAGGATTCCAGCCTTCAGTATGGATTACAACTCAATGTGAAGAAGACCAAAATCCTCACAATTGGACCAATAGGTAACATCATGATAAGTGCGGAAATGATTGAAATTGTCAAGAATTTTGTCTTGCTTGGGTCCACAATCAGTATTCATGGAAGCAGCAGTCAGGAGATCAAAAGATGAGTTGCATTGGGGAAATCTGCTGCACAAGACCTCTTTAGAGTGTTACTTTGAGGACTAAGGTGCACCTGACTCAAGCCATGCTATTTCTAATTGTCTCATATGCATGTGAAAGTTGGACATTAAACAAGGAAGACCGGAGAAGAATTGATGCGTTTGAAGTAGGTGCTGGTGAAGAATATTGAAAATATCATGGACTGCCAAAAGGACAAACAAATCTGTCTTGGAAGAAGTTCAGCCAGAGTTCTCCTTAGAGACAAAGCTGGCGAGACTTTGTCTTGCACTCTTTGGACATGTCATCAGGAGAGACCCGTCCCTGGAGAAGGCCATTATGCTTGGTAAATCATGGAGGACCAGGTGCGATGTTTGCTCTGTTGTTCATAGAGACCCTGTGAGTCAGAACCAAGTCAATGACACCTAACAACAGCAGCCATGGCCCTTTAGGTAACTCCTCTAGTCTCCAAGTTGGATCTACAAACTCTCTTATAGAGCACTCACTGAACTATGATCAAGGCATTTTGCTAGATGTTGTGAGAAATATTTAAAAGTGTCAAATCTGGCTAGTAAATAGTGAAACCAATTCCACAAACCACATCTCAAAATTGGCCTCGCTACTTCATAATCATTCTATGTTCAAACTACATTTCCTAGCCCATAAGAAGAAGCGATCCAGTTGATAGAGATAAGCTATAATCTATTTTTTAAAATAATAGCCACACTACCAAGTATTATATCAGTAGCACTGATAATATGTAGTCAAGGAATTCACATGATTTTGGAAAGTCATTTGCAATAGTAGTCAAGACTTTTAATGTTCCCTTTCCTTTTTTTCCATGAATCATTTTATTGGGGGCTCTTACATATGTTACATATTACATGTATTATAATGTATATCCATTATATCAAGCAGCCATGTACAGTTGTTGGTGTCAACAATTTCAGAACATTATCTTTCTTGAGCCCTTTGATATCAGCTCTTTTTTTCTTCGCTCCCTCACTCTGCCATCCCCACAAACCCTTAACATATTATGTATTGTTATTATTAATGATACATATCTTACACTTTCCAGTCTATCCCTTCCCCTACTACCCTGATATCCCTCCCCCTCCAGGGGGGGTTATTCTGCCGTCTCTGCTACCCATTCCCCCTTACCCACCGCTTCCCCATTTTCTTCCCCTGCCCTCCCATTACTGACTCCGACGGGGTTTGTCTTTCCTGAATTCCATATATTGAAAGCTCTCGTCCGTGCCGCAGGATGTACACCGGACAAGCAGGATTTTCGAGGTAGGACTAAGGTCCTAATAGTGGGGAAGGAAGGACTGAAAACCAGAAGAGTGTTGTGTGTTTCATCGGTGCTAAACTACCCCCGGGATGCATTTTCACCTCCATGCAGCCTCTCTGCACGGGGATGTCTAAGTATCCATGATGGGCTCTGGGTCTCCACCTTGACCCCTCTCCTTTACCTTGAATGTGCCCTTTCTGAATCAGTGTCTGTCATCTGAGCCACGGGTAAAGTGCCTGTGTCCTTAAGAATAGAATTGCAGGTGCTAAAGAACGAAGATGATTCGTTTAGTGCAAGGGCTCAGCTCTCTCACAGAATCGACCCGAGAAAGGCAATTTCCTTTATATATATTTATTGGGAAATTCATAGAGAAGCAAACGCAGGCTTCTCTTCAGAATGCTTTAAAAGTAAAAAGGGGGAGAGAACAGCCAACATGAGTGGGATGGCCAATATACCGATGTGGTAGACAACTACAAACTCACTGCTTCGTGTCGACTCGGACTCACCGTGACCTTCTCGACCGAGGAGAACTGCCCTGTAACTCTTGATGGAAGTCTCATCTGTGTCTCAGTGTTATTCTTTAAAGGCGTAGGAAGCCTCTTCTCTCTGCTGAGGAGCAGCTGGTGGTTTCGAACTGCTCACCTTGGGATTAGCAGCCCAGTGCGTAACCACTAAGCTACCAGAGCTCCTAGATGAACTATGAAGTAATTAAAATAGTGTTTTTGGAAATCAATGGCATGAAGTTAAGTGAAAAACAGGGCAGGAATTTGAATAATTTGACAATTACAAAAATAGGTGCATATTGTGTTCTTGTGCATACGTGCATATTGTGTTCTTGTTAGATGCCATTGAGTCATTTCCGACTTGTGGCAGAGTAGAACCGTCTCCTCGGCTGTCAGTTTCACGAGAGCTGAGGGCCCGGGCCTTCCTCTGCTGAGCTGCTAGGAAGCTTTGTACTGACAACCCTTTCGTTAGCAGCAGAGAGTCGAATCGTTGAGTTACCAGAGTTCCTTCCATAAACATTTACCCAGACTAAAATACATGGAGATGTTGATGGTTTCGGTAGATAGGACTGCTATAACAAAACTACCACCTGGATGGCTTTTAAGAAGTGAAATTTACTTTCTCTCGGCATGTTGTTGTTGCTTGCTGCTATTGGGTCCGTTCCACCCACAGCGACCTTGGGGCAGCAGAAGGAAAGAGACCCAGCCGGTCCTGCGCCGTCCTCACACCGGTCCCGGGTCCGAGCCCATTGTTGCAGCCACTGTGTCCATCCATCTCCTCGGGGGCTTCCTCTCTTTCCCTGCCCCTCTGCTTTACCCAGCATGATGTCCTTCTCCAGGGACTACTCTCTCCTGATAACATGTCCGAGGTACACGAGACGACGTCTCGCCATTCTCGCCTCTGGCATTCTGGCCATACTTCTTCTAAGAGAGATTTGTCTGTCCTTTTGGCAGTGTAAGTGTATCAAAATATAGGAGACTAGAAGTCTGAGTTCAGAGTGCCGGCTCTAGGGGAAGACCTTATCTGTAGTCTCTGGGAGAAAGTCCTGGTCTCCCTTTAATATCTGTGGGCCTGGTGTTCAGTGAAGACCTCCGTGTGTGTTAATATCAATCTTCCCTGGGTTTAAGAGGTTCTCATCACAGGCACCCAGATCCAAAGGGCACACTCCACTCCCAGGTCGTCATTCTTGGTGATAATGAAGTTCCTTCTTCTCTGCGTTCTTGGCTCTTCTTTTGCCTTAAGATAAAAGCTGAGGCCAGCTGCACTCCAAGGAAATGCCCCTCACTTCAGATCAGGGTTGTGACCAGAGTCACACGGTATGGCATCCTGTCCCACCCCCTTGTTGGCTGCTCATCTCAGATTGCATCATGGGGAATGATTGCGTCACCATTTAACTGCCAGACCCCTAGGAATCATGGCTCAGCCAAATAGATACATATATTGGTGAAGTGGGGACACAATTCAGTCCACAGCACTCATCTCTGGGTAGAAGTATCATAA